AGTTACTTAATCTGGAAACAAAATCAGCCCCCTTGGGTTGAGCCAAATCCATCATGGCTGTCAATACAGTGGTGTTAGACTTCCATCTGGCCTGAATGTGGCTCTCCAAACCGCTAAACTCCATGATCCACTGTCCCAGAGCACTCTGGTGGACTTCATTGACTCTACTCAATGATCTGGACACATTATTGGAATCTGTTTGGCCTCAAGTCTCTCTTTAATTGGCCAGGAAAGAGAGTGGGCGCCTCTGATCATTTCCTCTATATAAATCCAACCAATCGTCACTCTGGTTGATTCCAGTAATGCAAGATCGCCGTTGCTTTTGTAGAATAAGAGGGCTATCTGTGAGCCCACAGTGTTTTTGTGCTTATCCTAACCAGACATGACGCCGTAATGTAGTGAGTGATAAAAGCTATCTCTTTTGTTTTTATCTGTGGCGTTGTCTTATTCAGCCTATTTTGTTTGTTACTTTTTTTTACCCGTAAGACTTATTTTCTTTTGTGAATCACACAATGAGAAATTCGGAAATAATACAGTGGTTGCTTTTTTTCTATGCAGTTACAATGAATCAGGAATGGTTCAAGCTTCAAAAAGGACACCAAATCCCATGAAATTTGTATTTTATTATTTAATTTAATTTAAAAAAATTTATTTCATTTATTTTGTTATTTATTTAGTTTTATTTTATTATTCATGCCACCTAATATAGGTTAAAAAATGTATAAAATATTCAAAGCCCAAAGTCATAAAATTTTTGTAAAAAACACCCCAAAATATAAGTTGTTATTCTCTGATCTTCTCCTCCAATGAGCTGTTAACTGATGGAGCTAGATCACTCAGTGAGCTGAACTCAAGAACCGGAGCAGTCTAAATGATTTATTAATTCATTGAGATCTGACTCAAAAAATGAATAAATAAATAACTATTCATTAAATAACTACTTAAAGGGATAGTTCATCCAAAAATGAACATTTGATGTTTATCTGCTTACCCCCAGGGCATCCAAAATGTAGGTGACTTTGTTTCTTCAGTAGAACACATATGATGATTTTTAACTCCAGCCGTTGCAGTCTATCAGTCGTATAATGCATGGCAATGGTAACAAAATCTATGAGAGTAAAAAAAACATGCACAGACAAATCCAAATTAAACCCTGCGGCTCGTGACGACACATTGATGTTCTAAGACACTAAACGATCGGTTTGTGCCAGAAACCGAACAGTATTTATATAATTTTTTACCTCTAATACAACACTATGTCCAACTGTCTTTGGGCGCGCGCACGGCATCCGGTGCGTGAGGCGTGTACGCGCTCTGGTGTAAAATCTTCTTTTTTGGATGAACTATCCCTTTAAATGCATTTTTTTTCTTACACAAATCTATTGTATAGATTTAAAAGACTTTGATTATATTGCAAAAAAGTTCTTTATTATATTGAAGAGAAGTAACTAATATTTTATTTTAAATTAAAAATGCTGTTTGTTCCATAAATGAAATTTAGTGATACAGTTTGAAACAACATTAGGGTGAGTAAATATGAATTTTCTTTTTTGGGATGAACTATGCCTTAATATATTGTTTCTTTTTAGTGTAGACAGACAAATTATGTGACGCTCGTCTTGTCTTGTTAGAATAAATTGTCTGTTTCGGTGCGGACAGACAAATTACTTGTCATGTCGCGTCTGGATACTGTGTCAACTCTGTCTCTCTGAAATCTGTTGCTTTGTTGTAATTGTTTTCCCAAAGTGCAAGTTTTCATGGTTGATCAGGACCTCTCATTGTCTGTGACACATTACTGTCATGTGTTAAGATAAGTGGTTTCGACTGACTTATGCTGGTTCATTGTGTGTTTTGGCCAGCATGTGCTGTGTTATGCTGTGGCGGTTTGCGATGACTCCAGATGACCCAAACCTTCCGTCAATAGTGCTCCGAAATAGGATGGTGTGATTTTAATGAGTCACCTTTCTCCTGCGGTTCAGCTTTTACTGGGACACGCTCACTTCATGCGACTGCATCACTGACAGGTTCCACTTACAGTCATGGATGGTGTTTTCTTTCCTAATCAAATAATAGATAAACAACTTCCAACTGTCTTTTTAGGGGATGTTAATATTCACTGAGTCATTTGAGACTGCAGTCACTGGCGGTTTATTCATGAAGCCCATTTTAGATCAGCAGAGTTTTGTTTTGATTTGTTTGTGTGTGTTTCAGACAGAGCGAGAAACAGAAATGGTGAAATGTTAATAAATATGCTAATGAAAGCCAGGAGATGCAGATAGGGGGTGCAAGTGTATCTGTGTTGCTGAGCTTTTGCTGGGTTTGTGGCTTTACTTAGCTTCAATTTAGGGACAAAACTGTTCCCAGAACATAGCTAGTTCTTGAAGGTAAAAATGATTCATACATTTTTTTTGTTGTTGAAACATTAAGTGTCATGGTTAGTTTTATACTGTAGAAACTACACTTCCAGTCAAAAGTTTTTGATCAGTAAGATTTTTAATGTTTCTTTAAAGAAGTCTCTTCTGCTCACCAAGCCTGCATTTATTTGATCCAAAATACAGCAAAAGCAGCAATATTGTGAAATAGTTTTACTATTTGAAATAACTGCTTTATATTTGAATCTATTTTAAAATGTAATTTATTCCTGTGATCAAAGCTAAATTTTCAGCATCATTACCCCAGTCTTCAGTGTCACATGATCCTTCAGAAATCATTCTAATATTCTGA